TTTAGTATCTTTTTAATTGGAAGCAATGAATGTATATTACCTATACAAGAATTTAACTGAAAAAAAAGGAGGCGGGGGAGACTCTAAACAATACTCTGGAAGCCAGGCTTCTAGCCCTAACCCGCCACTAACAGTTACCTTTGACAACTGAACAAATTCTAAAAATGTATGATCTCAGTATCTCAGTGGGGGAGGGGGGACGACAGTAAATATATGGTACTAATTTTATTTTTTAAAGACAGGTAAGAGGTACTAGAGTCCAACATTTTGCAAAATAAGGCAGCTTTTTGAGGACTTGATAGTTTTCAAATACTAGTTTTACCATTTTAAGGACTGTAGAATTGTTAAGACTGTTAAATCTTTCTAGATCATTTGTACTATTTTTACATAGAAACCTTTCTTAGAAAGGGTCTACTGTAATTTACAAGAAATACCTATAAAGAATATTCTGCACATTGTTTTGTTTCTCTTTTCACACTTTTAAAATCATTTTATTTATTTTTATTGATTTTTTTTTATTTTTATCCTCACCTGAGGACATTTTTCCATTTTTTGTTCAGGTAGAGTGGGAGGGAGAGAGAGAAACAGAGAGAAAGAGAGAAACATCGACGTGAAAGGAACACATCGAGTGGCTGCCACCCGCACGACCAACCAGGGCCGGGGACAAACTGCAACCGAGGTACGAGCCTTTAGCGGGAACCGAACCCGGGTCTCTAGGGACTGCAGGTCAACGCTCTAACTGCTGAGCCAAACCAGCCAGGGCTATTGATTGATTCTTTAGAGAAAGAGAGAGGAAGGGAGAGGGAGACAGAAACATTGATGACCAAACAGGATATACAAACGAAAAAATGCTCAACATCCCTAATCATCAGAGATATATAAATTAAAATGACTATGAGGTATCAAGTCACACCTGCCAGAATGGCTGCCATCAACAAATCATCAAACAAGTGCTGGTGAGGGTGTGGGGAAAAGGGGACTCTAGTACACTGCTGGTGGGAATGCAGAATGGTGCAGCCACTATGGAAAACAATATGGTGTTACCTTAAAAAGTTAAAAATTGAACTGCCATTTGACCCAGTGATCCCACTTCTAGGAGTATACCCTAAGAAACATGAAACACCAATCAGAAAGAATATATGTACCCCTATGTTCACAGCAGCATTATTTACAATCACTAAGATCTGGAAACAGCTCAAGTGTTCATCAGTAGATGAGTGGATAAAACAGCTGTGGTACATATACACAATGGAATACTATGTAGCTGCAATAAAGAAAGATCTCTTGCCCTGGCCAGTTTGGCTCAGCGGTTAGAGCATCGGCCTGCGGTCCGGAGAGACCCGGGTTCGGTTCCCGCTAAGGGCATTTACCTCGGTTGTAGTTTGTCCCCGGCCCTGGTTGGTCGTGCGGGTGGCAGCCACTCGATGTATCCCTTCACGTCGATGTTTCTCTCTCTCTCTCCCTTCCTCTCTCTCCCTCCCACTCTATCTGTACAAAAAATGGAAAAATATCCCCAGGTGAGGATAAAAAAAAAAAGAAAGATCTCTTATCCTTTGAGACAACATGGAGGGACCAGGAGAGTATTATCCTAAGCAAAACAAGCCAATCAGAGAAAGACAAATATCACATGATCTCACATATTTGTGGAATATAAAGAACAAAACAAACTGATGAACAAAATGGACCTAGAGACATAGATGTAGGGTACAGACTGACAAAACTCAGAAGAGAGGATGAGGGGAGTAGGGAAGAGTTAAACCACAGAATTTATATGCATGTATGCATAACCAATGGACATAGACAACAATGCTGGGGACAGGGCGGGATGGGGGGTATCGGGCGGAGGTTGTCAATGGGGGGAAAAGGAGAAACATCTGTCAATGGGGGGAAAAGAAGAAACATGTGTAACAAAAAAAAATCAGTAAAAAAATTTTTTTAAAAAGAAACATTGATGAGAAAGAACACTGACTGGCCACCTTCTGCATGCTCCCCACTGGGGATTTGGCCCACAACCTGGGCATGTGCCCTGACTGGGTATCAAACAGGCGACCCTTGGTGCATGGGTCCTCACCACAACAGCTGGGCTTAAAATAGTTTAAAATTAGACTTGAAGTCTTTCTACTCTGCCATGAAATGAGCAGTAAACACTAAAACAATTTACATTTGAAATACATAAATGACTAAACCTTAAACAAGAACTTATAATACTTAAAGGTGTTTATTATCAGACACTACAAAAAACACCTCCAATTGATGATTAACAGCTATAACTAATTGAGTACATATTTTATTCCAGGTATTGCTACTATGTATCACCTTTAATCCTACTATTCATCTGGTAAAGTAAAAAAAAAATTTTTTTTTTAATCCTCACCCGACGATATTTTTCCATTTTTGTTTGGATAGAGTAGGAGGGAGAGAGGGAGAGGGGGAGAGGGAGAGAAACATCAACATGAGAGGAACACATCGACTGTGTTCCTACCGCACAACCCCAACCAGGGGGGATGAACCGAAACAGAGATTTGTGCCCTTGACCGGAGTTGAAACCAAGACTCATTGGTCCACAGGGCCCATGCTCTTAACCACTGAGCCAAACCAATCAAAGCAGTTAAGCAAATTGTAAAATGTTTCATTGACTTTTTTAGAGTAGGGAGAGAGAGAGAGAAACATTGATCTGAGAGCTATACATCAATCAGCTGCCTCCTGCATGCCCCCTACTGGGGATCAAGCCTGCAACCTGAGCATGTGCATGTGCCCTGACCAGGAATCGAAAGGGGCCTCTCAGTTCATGGGATGACATTCAATCTATTGAGCCACAACAGCTGGCCTACTAAAGCAAAATTTAATACTCCCATTTAATATATGAAACAACTGAGGGTCCAGGAACAAAAGTGACTGGACTAACTTGCGACCCCAGTGTAACAAGTGTCTAAGCTACGAATCCATCAAGGGTTACTTAATGTAAGCTGGCAGCTGTTGCAGATTTGCCACAATTTTCACTAATTTATATTAAAATGAGGACAAATAAGGAGAAGAAAGTAGCTTTTTAATAAAGCTAAATGACTCCATTTAAAGAGCTTTTATTCTGAGATTCTGTTCAAATTGAGTTAAAATATCTTTTTTTTTTAAATAAATGAGATGATGGTGACAGTAAATAGTGGTGTGGGTTAGTTGCTGTTTTATTGGCTATACCTGGCAGGACAAAAAACCATCAACTCTATTACAGTGTCCCAATTTTGGTGGGAAATATTTCTTTTGAAATCCAAAAGTCTGGGAACTACTCCCTTAGACAGTGATGCCTCCCAAAATACTAGAGGACTTTACACACACACACACACACACACACACACACACTTCTCTTATCAATCTCTACTTCATTCTATTTGAATTAGGACACTTAAGATTGAGAAATGAGAATAAAGTGAATTTCAACAAGTCACATGAATTAATGCTGGATTCTGCTACAGGATTTTCCTCAGGATTCTTTTCATTGGTTAACTTTTCTCATCCTTTACCTTCAATTCTATTCACTCAAACCTCAACTCAAACTTTTTCCTAAAATAATCACATTTTTAAATACTACTGTTAAATAGTAATCAATACTTGAGGTCTCCAATAATTTGCTTTTATATAAAAATGTTTAATGATGTTTATTCCACCTACTTCCAAAAGAAAACTGGCCTATAAAACCAGACTCAAGCCACTTTAATTTACAAATACCTGTATTTCCATTAAATAGATGAAGTTTGTAAATAGTTACGAGACAAATTCCAATGCTAGCTTGTTCATGTAATCACAGATATGCAGGTCAAAATAAAACTAGTAAGCTGTCTACCTAGCACTTCACAGAACAAAAGGAGAGGAAGAAACTGTTCAAAGATGACTACTGTTAACAAATTCAAAATATTAGGCATAGTATGTCTCTATTAAAATTGTAACCTGTCAACATTTCTTTCACTTTTGCTACTTCTTAAAAAATAAACTCTTCTAAATAAAAAATAAGCAAACCACTTTTACGATGCAAATTCCCCCCTTTTTAAAGTAATTGCCTAGGTATATCTAGTGCAGAAAATAAATGTAACAGATCAACTACACATTTTTTAAAACCTGGTTATCAGCAAAACAAACCAATACCTCCAGTTTAGCAATGCGTGTACTTTTAATCTTCTGTGGCGATCCCATTATACTAATCAACAACGTTTAAAAGTCACCCCAATGCCCAAAACCTCACTACACGTGACATACTCATATTTTACTCAAATTAAGATTAAACTAGACCCAAACTCAGAAATTTCCCCGTCCCAAGCACAGTGAAATATACGAGGGGGAATCCAAGAAATCAGATATATTAAGTGCTAGTATCTTCTTCCAGAGTAGGGTCAAATTCGTGTGTGTCCGCAAATGTCACCGGCTCAGTAAGTCTGCAAATTCTCATTAGCGCTACAGAGTACAAAGAGGCCTGACCACGGAAACACCTGTCCTAGCACCGGGAAGGCAGTGGGAAATGCAACCCGAGCCCATTCCGGCCGCACAGCCTCGGACTGCAGCGATCCCCGACCACGAGCAGACTCTGCCTGCCTCCACGGCTCCCCCGGCAGGGTTCTACACCCCTCACCCGTCTCCCCCGGCGAGAACCAGGAAATCTGTCAAGCCGCTTGGGACCCACCCTCCGCGAACCCTTCTCGCTCCTTCTTAGCCCGGCCCCAGCCTGCCCAACTGCTCCCGGTCCGCTCCGGCCTCCCGGCTCCACTCTGCCACCTCATCCCTCCTCTCCGGTCTCGCGGCACCGCCACCCCCGCCCGGGTGGCCTGGTCTTGGGCCGCCCCCAGGACCGGAGCCTTCGACCAGAGCCCTCCACCCCAAACGGCCCGGCTGTGGGTCCCTCCGCGGCCCGGTCCCCACCGACCCCCAGGCCCGAGCTCCCGCCGCGCTCTCCCCACCCCCAGCCTCCGCCCTCGCCCCGCTCGGCCGTTCCGGCTCGCTCCCCCCAGCCAGGCTACCTGGAGGCAAGGGCGGCGGAGCACTTCACCCAGGGCCCCAGGTCGCAGAGGGCCCGGTGCTCGGGGTCCCGCTCCTTCTCCCGCTCCACGTGGTAGGCGTAGATGGAGAGCAGGATCCCGGCGGCGCACACTGCATACCGGGCCACCCGCTCCCACCGCGGCACCGACACTCTCAGCAGGACGGGCGCCGCCATCTTCCCCCCTCCGCCGCCGCCGCCGCCGCCGCCGCCGCCTCCCTCTGCCTCCACCTCAGCAGCCGCCGCCCGTCGGGGCCCGACCCAGCCGCCGCCGCTACCGCCACCGCCTCCGCGGCCGCCGCCACCGCCGCCACCGCCGCCGCGCCCCATTGGCTCGACCGCCTCCTCCGGGCCCCGCCCCCAAAAGCGCGCGGCCCAACCGCCCCGAAAGGAGGGAGCCCGGAGAGGCGGGCAAGGCGCGCGCGGGCGCGTAGGGTGGAGCGGAGCGCGCAACCGCTGGGGAGGTCGGGCAGGCAGGCGGGGACAGAGGCGGCGTGGCGCGCGCAGCGAGCTGGGCAGAGCGGAGAGGAGGGGCCAGAGGAAAGGAGGGGCGGGGCTCCGGGAAGGGAGGGGCAGGGCGGTGTGTCGTGGGAGGATCTTGGGGGACCCGGTAAAATAAATAAATTTCAAAGTTACTAACAGGTGTGACCTAAGCTCTTGGTCCCTCCCCCTGGGAGTGATGATCAATTGCCATTTTCTTTTCTTTTTCATTATCACTTGCTATTTTCTGACCCAATCCAAATTAACCTTGGCCAAATGCCCATTCTTGAGCCACGCTTGCATTACCCGATCTCCCCACCACCACCACCACCTCCAGGCACCTCCTGTTCAACAGGTGTGAACTAAATTTTTTAAAAAGTATTTCGGGAATGCCTTGCTTCTCTGTAAGCTGAATTTGAGATGGCTTAACATAATTCATATAATAAAGAAAAATATAAAAATGAACTAAAAAATCAGGATGAATAAAACAAGTCAGAATAAAGGAAAAGATCAGGAGTAAAGAACACACATAAGCAGGCCACAGGGTCTTGCATAATTATTACAACTGAGCCATAAATTTGGCTCTGAGCTTCCTGGTGGCCAAAATTAAAAAGAAAACATATGTGTGTTATTCTCTCTGTCTCTAAGAAGAAAGAAACAAACCATCCTTGGAGATGGTTAGCTTTTTCCTGGTTGTGGCTCTCAAAGATATTTCAAAGGTTTTAAATAGTGATTGTGAGTAATCATTGTCCTTTTATTATCTATTGTTGGGTAACAAATTACCCTATATTTAGCAGCTTAACACAAAACAAAACAAAATCCCTTATTTTCTCACTATCCCTGTGGGTCAGGAATTTGAGTGTCTTTTAGCTGGGTCCTCTGGCTCAGGATCACTCACAAGGCTGCACTTAAGGTGTTGGCAAACCTCAGGCATCCCAAGGTTGGAGAACCCTTTTCTAAGCTCACTCACATGGACTTTCTTCCAGCCAAGCTCGGCGATGTGTTTAAGCTTTTTTTCTTAGAGTATTTTATCTGGTATTTCTATATTTGTATTTCTGTATTTTTCTATGTTGGTTTAATCCACCATGTCAGAACCAGATATCCAAAAAGATTTCTATAATCTCATTCATTACCCCAGAGTTGTTTTGCTGGGTTAGAATGCTGTACTCTACATTTTTCTGCCAAAGTTTTGGAAAAGGTCACAGCAAGATACAGCAGGATCATTAAGGTTAGGCAGTAGCTGGCCAGAAAATTTTCTACAGCAGAGTCTGTGAAAGCCCAGACCTTCCAACGCCCCTCAGGAAAACACCACTCAAAGTTAATGTCCTATCACCTGGCTGGTGTGGCTCAGTGGTTGAGCATCGACCCATGCATGCATCAGTTCAATTCTGGTTAGGGCAAATTCCCAGGTTGTAGGCCCAATCCCCAGTGGGGGGCATGCAGAGAACAATGATGTTCTCTCTCATTGATGTTTCTGTCTCTCTCTGTCTAAAAATCAATAAAGAAAAAAAAAATTTTTTTAATGAATGTCCTATCAGGAGGGGACAGCTGTCTCATTTTCTCATTCAAGGGTTAATAGATTCTGATATTATTTCATTATTGTCAGCACAGAGGAGATGCTCATTTTAAAAATCGGGGTTTTTTTGGTTAATCCTCACCTGAGGATATTTTTCCATTGATTTTTTTTTAAGATGGAGTAGAAGGGAGGGAGGGAGGGAGGGAGGGAGAGAGAGAGAGAGAGAGAGAGAGAGAGAGAGAGAGAGAGAGAGAGAGAAACATCGATGTGAGAAGGATGACCAGGGCCAGGAATTTAACCTGCAACCCAGGTATGTGCCCTTGACTGGGAATCAAACCCAAGACCTTTTGGTCTGCAGGCTGATGCTCTAACCACTGAACCAAACCAACCATGGCAAAATGCTCCTTTTTAAACACTGCATGAGGAGTGGACCAGTAAACATTCTATATACACAGATGACCTACTGACTCACCAGATGACAAGGCAATTTTACTGAGCACATATCTACATACTAGGCACTGTCTCACCAACTGTGTTGATCTCTTGATATATTATATTTAAATTTTACAATATCTGTATAAGGTAGGTATCATTATCCCCAGTTTTCATGGGAGAAAAGTAAGTCTCAGAGGGATAAATAACTTGCCCAGTTATCACTAGAGGTAGAGCTTCAATTAGCACCCAGGCCTGTCTTATTCAAGTGTGACCCCTCTTTACAACCAGCATGTGTGGCTTCCCTCTGAGAAACCAACTCTCAATTTGACATGAATACTCTATTTGTTCCCAGAAGGTAATAAATGAATTATTCACCAGCCTAAACTTGGTCCCAGAACTTCCCTCACCAGGGCTCAAGTCTTTGTCACCCTATTCTAAGTTCTTTACCTGTATTAACTCATTTAATCCTGACAACAACTTTTGATGTAGGAACAATTATTTTCTATGTTTTACAGATGAGGAAACCAAGGTTCAGAGAGGCTATGTAACCTGCTGAAAATCACATAGCTGCTAAGTTGTAGAACTGGAATTTAAGCTCCAGCAGTCTGGTTCCCGGATTCATGCTCTTAACTCCTGTGATATGAGCTAAAATGCACAGAGAATTTGAGGTATGGTCAAGACAACAGAGTAGGTAAATGTGGTACTGGCATCCTCCCACAACCACATCAAAATTACAACCAAACTACAGGACAGCCATCATTTAGAACCAGCGAAAATCTAGCTAAGCAGAAATTCTATAACTATGGATATACAGAAGCCACTTTGAGACTGCTAGGAGTAGCAGAGAGGCAGAACAGGCAGGTCCCATACCCACATCTGGAGGTTAAAAATTGGCTGCAGAGCCCCCCACCCCAGGAGCAAAGAGTCCCAGCCACACACCAGCCACCTCTCACCCCCATCCCACCATCCCAGGGTTCCAGTGTCAGGAAGAGAAGTCCCTATAACTTCTGGCTGTGAAAACCAGCAGGGATTGTGGCTGAGTGAGATGAAGAGCTATTAGAGTCCCAGGTGTTCCGCTTAAAGAGCTGAAGCACAGACTTACTCGCTGATGGATTCACTCACTCTGATCTCCAGCACTGGGGCACCAGGAACATATGGGGAGGAACTGAATTGTCTGGCTTTGGGGTGAGGGCTGGAGGGTCAACTTTGCTCTAGACAGCTGTGCGAGCAGAAGCCATTGTTCCTATGCTGAGCCCTCCTCCCACACAGTGAGCAGGCAGGTGCCATAGATGAGTCTCCATCAACCTAAATAATATGGTTTGCCCTACCCTGGTGATTCCCTGAAACCCTGCCCCACCCAACATTTGGGCCCACCCAAGTCCCTTCCAGTGGCTTTTCCAAACAAATGGCCTATCTTGGCTTATGCCGTGAACCTTCCTAAATTCTCTCAAAGGTTCACAAACTTCATAGCAGCATCTGGCCTCAATATGCCCCATACTTCTTGCTAAATGGCCCTAGGCCAGGCACTAGTGGCATCCAGACTTGATTTTCAGTGTGGCATCTCTAGGGCACCTCCAAGTCCAGCACAGGTAGCAGTCATCTGCAGATCACTTTTTAGCTCATGCTGGGTAGCCTTGAGCAGGGCACAGGTGGCAGCTGACCTCACCTCCCAGGAGGCCCCAGAGCCAGCACACTCTTCAGCCAGCTTAAAATCATGCCTGGAGAACCACCCAACAACTTTCACAAGTGACACACTCAAAGGGAGGACTCAGAGGACACCAGAGCCCTACTGAAGGGAATCCTGTTCTGTGGGGTTGGCCCCTGCACAGAAGCTCCTCTACTATAGTCACAGCCAGTCCTTGTAGCTTATCAGCCTGGGGGTTACTCCCACCCCCCTCGCATTGACTTGCAAACAGCAATCAAGGATCAACTACAATTGGAGGGTGCACACAGCCTGCTTGGCTCAGGTGACCAGCATGGCTGCACCACTGGGCCCTACAGGACACCTAATGTATAAGGCCACTCTACCAAAACCAGGAGACATAGCAGATCTACCTAATACATAGAAAAAAACTCAGACAGGCAGTCAAAATGGGGAGACAAAGAAACATGTCCCAGATGAAAGAATAGGAGAAATCTCCAGAAAAAGAACTAAATGAAATGAAAGCAAGCAAACTACCAGACACAGATTTCAAAACAATAGTTATAAGGATGCTCTAGGAACTTAGTAAAAACTTCAACAGGATAAAAGGATATAGAAACCATAAAAAAAAGAACCAGTCAGAAATGAAGAATACAATAACTAAAATGAAGAATGCACTAGAAGTACTCAAAATCAGATTAAATGAAGCAGAGTACTGAGCCAGTGATTTGGAAGACAAGGCAGCTGAAAACACCCTATGAGAGCAGCAGAAAGAAAAAGAATTTTTTAAAAATGAGGATAGTTTAAGGGGCCTCTGGGACAAAATCAAGTGTAACAACATCCATATCATAGGGATACCAAAAGAAGAAGAGAGAGAGCAAGGGATTCAAAACCTATTTAAACAAAGAATGACTGAAACTTTCCTAATCTGGTGAAGGAAAAGGACATACAGGTTCAGGACACACAGAGAATCCCAAACAAGATGAACCCAAAGGGACCCACACCAAGGCACATGGTAATTAAAATGACATATGTTAAAGACAAAGAAAGAACCTTTAAGGCAGCAAGATAAAAGCAGTTAGTTAACTACAAGGGAGCTCCCATAAGACTGTCAGCTGA